GTCAGGGTCAGAGATTGACCTCAGGTGTCTTCCTGAATTAATTTCCATGTTATATATTGGGACAGGGTCTCTATTTGAACCCAGAGCCTACCTATCTGGTATGTCTAGCTAGCCAGTTTCCTTGGAGGGTCTTCCATCTCTGTCTTCCATGTACTGGGATCATAGATGGGTTGTCATGCCCAGTTAGCACTTACAGAGGACTGGGATTCTGAACTCCAGACCTCACGCTTGCAAGGCAAGCACTTTACCTGTGAGCAGCACACCAAGCAGCCATTGGGCCTTCTAAAGAGGGCTTTATCTGCAAAGATGTTTTCTCTGAAACAAAATCGAGGGACTTTGCTAATCCCTGCTCCATCTTAGCTCCCTCTGTAGAAATGACATGGGGTTTAGTGAACTGCACTAGACTTAATCCTCCTGCAATGTCCTTGTTTGCACATCGTTCTTGATATTCAAAGGGCTGGGAGATGAGGGACAGATGTGACTGTGTGGCCAGAAGATGGGCTCATGCATGTCTGTTTACCCTATCCAACTTGTTTTGTGAACAAGGAGCCCAGTCAAGTGGCTGTCCGTGTAGTCCTCGTGGTTCCTTTGCCTCGTGTGTTTCCCCACATAGATACAGGTAATCGAGAGAGGGAGTGAAGAGCTTCGGATTGCCTAGGTAATCCCTCTAGACAGGTGCTGTGGTTTAAGGAGACATGTCCCCCCGCAGGCTTGTGTGTTTGAACATGTGGTCCCCAGCTGGTGGCTCTGTTTGGGAAAGTCACGGAAGCTTTAGAAGGCAGGGCCTAGCTAGAGGCAGAGATCACTGGGAGTGGGTGGAGCCTCTCTAGAGGAAGTGATCGTGGGGGTGGAGCCTAGCTAGAGAAAATGATCCCCGGGGTGGGTGGAGCCTAGCTAGAGGAAGTGCTTACAGAGGGTGGAGCCTAGCTAGAGGAAGTGATTACTTCGGATGGGTGTGTGAAGGCATTTTGTAGTCCTGATATCTAAGGAGGAGCAAGAGGACCAAGGGGAGAGGAAAGGAGAGAGAGAGGGAGAGGCAGGAGCTAGGAAAAGACAGCATGGAGCCTGACAGAATTGGTATAAAAGCAGGACACCCTGCTACACAACAGTCATTTGTTGTCTCTAGACTGGCACTTAGGGAGTACTTTCCAACAGCTTCTAACATTTGTCAAAACTTTGGTTTTTTTTCTGAGGCAAAGGCTTGTGGCGATGCTTCTGCCTCTGTGAGTGATGGCATGGAAGACATAACCATTCTGCCCAGCTCTTGCCAAAGATACGTTTGTGCATTTATTTCCCAAGTAGTGTTTGAACTGTCATGGACTCATAGTACTTGGTACTCCCAAAACCACACAGCCAAGGAGTTATATGACAAAGCCATACACATAATTCAGTCTCCATGTCCCATCAGGCACAAGCACAGACAGGTCCAGGGGTCCGGTCTTTCTTAGCTGCCTGCCTGGATCCTGCCCTGGTGCTGTCTACTTCTTGATGCAATACTGAAGATATCTGCTCTTCTCAGAAGCCCACACACCATCCAGGATGTCTGAAGCGAGAGGCTGTGAACCCAGGGCTCTGCTGTGCCCCAAACCTCCTGGGAAGGTGGGTTCATTGTACCTACCTTGTAGAGGGCCGACATGGAAGCAGAGCCCACCACCAGGGCTATGCCAATGACTGAGTGACTGTGGAAGCCATCGGCGTAGGTCATCATGACAATGCCTGCGATGGCGAGGATGGCGGCCACGATCTACGGGAGGGAGACAAACATTGTCAGGCATAGTGGGAGGGAGATATTGTCAGGCCATGGAGGGAGGAGACACTGTCAGGGCTTGGAAGGAAGTGCAAGTGCTTAAGAGCTAGAATGTTCTACTCATGGGTTCTTCCAGATAGAAGAAAGCAGTGTCTCATCCCAAGACTCCTGGGTTGAGCAGGCAGAGGTAGCTGATGGAGTGGAGCTTACAGGACACTTATCTAAGCTTTATAGAACCAAAATGCTTAGGGACGGGAGCCAGGGTGGTGGTGTGGCTTTGTCTCAGGCTCCAGCCAGGGCTGGCCACTGATCCTTGACAGATTGGTGATCATATTCTGGGAGCAGGTTCCTCAGTCATGACAAAGCCTGAGGGACAGTACCTAGTCAGCACCCGGGAATTACTGAGCTCTCTTCCCACCTTCTACAGGTACCTCTCAGGGCCCGGACTCCGTGCTGTTTTATCCTCAACAGGAATCACATAGCGGTGACAACAGAAGTTGTCCTTGCTTGACACACTAGCATTGGGAACTGATCACACCACTGTCCTTCAAGGGCTGTAGATCACACCCTGACTCGGAAGTGTGGCCCCTCTCCCTTCTTAGCCATTTCTTCCCTGGGTCTCTCCTCTATGCTGTTCTTAGCACTTGCAGGTTGTGGGATGTACTCTCTAAGGAGAAAGTGTTCTGGCATCCAGAACACATGCAGAGTCCAAGCAGAGGCAGCTGCAGCACACACAGAGCCCTAGGGAACCAGGAGAGGGGAAGACCCTTCAAGTTTGACGTTAGTGGCAGCATCTGACAGCTGAGCTTCAGGAGCCAACACTGAGGCATTTCCAATGCGTTTCCTTGCTGAAGCTCAAATCAGGGGGCTAGTGATGCTCACCCTCTTTTATAGAAGTAAGACTCAGAGAGGATAAGGAATGTGCCTCAGGGCACACAGCTTGAGGCAAAAGAGTCTAAACAAACATAGGCTATTGAATAGCAAATCTGGTTTAACATTTTAAATGGGTAATCTGTGGTTAATCATCATTGCCAGCTTGAGGGGATTTAGACTCATCCTGGGGACGCTGGACCTGTCTGTGAGGGACTTTGTACTGGGTTAGTGAAGGTAGGGTGAGTGGGTGGCACCACCCCATGGACTGGGGTCATGGACTGAGGAGAGAGTGAGCTGGGCACCAGCTTCCATATCTCTGCTTCCTGACTACAGGTGTGCAGGACTACAGTCTGTCTCCATGTCTTCCTCACCATAATGGATTGTATCCCTCAAACCGTGAGCCACAGTCAACCCTCCCTTCCTTAAGCTGCCTTTGTCAGGTGCTTGTCTCAGCAACAAGAGAAGCAACTAAGACACAGAGTGAGCCATGGCATGAATAGAGGCTTGTCTGTGAATTTGATGGCGTCCCCGATAAGTAGGAGACCCAAAGGAAGGGAGAGGAAGGTGAGGGGGGAGGAAGGGGGAGTGGGAGGGAGAGGGGGGAGGAAGGAAGGAAGGAAGGAAGGAAGGAAGGAAGGAAGAAAGGAGAGAGACAGATTTCTGATGATTCTGAAAGTGTGTATGGCTGACATCTGCAGTAACAAAGGAGACTGGGTTATTTTTCCTGAAGTCTTGCATGGCAGATTCCAGTCTCTCCCATGTTCTTCATTACTGCTTAACAACCAACAGTTAAGAGCGTCCACTTCAACTGGGCTATGCAGAGATCCAGGGAGAGGCTAGAAAGGTCAGACAGGGCAGGTGAGGCTGCCCTCTGTGACTGTGGAGACAAACAACTCAGGCCCTGTGGGTTCACTCAGGCAGAAGGCACCAGAGACAGTGCCTTCCTGGGGTCCTAGCACTGGTCTTGAAGTCTGCGGATCTGACTGTGGGGTGTCTGCTCTCTCAGCTTTAGCAGCCCCTTTGGAAGGCGAGGCCACCTTCTGAAGTGTATGGACGGACACGTTCCCACCTCACTTTCAAGACCCTTCAGTCAGAAGATCAGAGTCCAAGTCCTCCTCTAGCCAAGAGAGTTTAAGGAAGCCAAGTGTGACATGGAAGAGATACGCTGGCTTTAGGTTCCATACACTGAGATGCTGGAGGCTTTTTGGTCTCTTTGTGAAAGTATTCCCTGACTATTTTCTGTGTTTCACTGAACTCCCCCTCAGACCTGTCAAGTTTGTTCTGTGGATTCACAGGTTCTGGGTACAACTTCTTAATCCAGGGCACCAGATGGTGACCTCTCTTCTCTGTCCAACTTTAAAGACTAGGCAAGCTAAGGTTCAGACGTTGGTTCTGGTCATGGACTCATGGCCTTGTCACTGGCTCCTAGACTGAGCCATTTGGCCACTGTGTGAGAACCTCTGTCCCAGGGCCCACAGGAGGAGAAGTATTTGTAAGTAGAGATGGGGACAGGTTGACCTGTGTTTAAACAGACACCTCAGCAGCACCTGCCCAGTGACATCAGGAGTGACCAGGGTCTCCAGGGTATTATAAGACATGTTTCCTTATATTTTGGACCCATCCACCTGACCTAGAACTGCTGGTGCCCCTTCCCATCTTCAATAAGCTGTAACTGGGTGACTGAAGTAATTTTTTTAAAATCCCACAAGTCTTGTTTTCTGCCCCTGCTCTCCCCATGACCTCCCTCCCTGCAAGCCTTCTCCGGCACAAGGAGGAGCCTTGGTCCTATCCTCCAAGCCTACGAAGCTGGCATTGCTCACTCATCCCCCAGGCTGGAAGCTGCATTGGCTCTTAAGTCTTTGGAAATTCCCTAGAGGTAGCTGCGGCCTGTCCCTGACAAGTATTTGAGCGGCCTCCAGATGTCTCTTGTTTTTGTCTCAAGGATTCCATGAGATTTCAGAGCTTTGCATTGATCCTGTAGCCTACAGTGGGAAGTTCTTCAGTGACTAGCCATGCACTCCTGAAAGGGGAGAGCATGCCCGCACAGTGTCTGCATGTTACAACATCCTGTCACCTTGTGGCTTCTCCCTACAGCACCTACAGAGATCGCAAAGCCTTAACACAAACCTGTAGTGTGCAGTGGTCAGCAGAGAGTACTTTAATCAGAGGCTAACATTGCCAGGCTGTATGTATCCCTGTAGAAGGATGTAGGAAAGTCTTCTACCCGTGGACAACAAACAAGCACAGATCTCAACCACACCATGTTCTGCAAGACGGCTGAGTAGCTCAAGTTTATTCTCACCCACGTTTCTCTTTCTGTTTCTGTGCCACTGACCTTGAAGCATCTCTTTCCCATAACAAAAATTTACTCAGGACATCTGCGCCATCCCCCAAAGCTCTACGGGTCTCTCAATTCTTTGACCCCTAAGTAAAGCCTGGGAAGGCATAACCATGGCTTTACTGTTATTGGACACTTCAGTATCCCTGGGACACACAAGTCTTTAACTCTGAGTCTGTATGAAGCCTCTGCAGTCCTTCCAGACATATATTAGATCATTGATTTGCCTAAGACTTTTCTGGGTGGCAGCCCGGGGCGTGAGTTTTTATTCCCAAATTAACACTGAGCCTCAAAACAAACTCTCCCCCCTGCAGTAAGCTAAAAATATGAACCAGCAGTTGACTCACGTCCCCACTGCTGTTTGTATAACTCAGGTGGGCGTAAGCCCACCCTCAAGGTGATGTCATTAGTCTCAGGACAGTGAAGCAAGGACAGAAGCAGAGGACCCAGACTCTGCCTCTTATTGGTTGCCAACATGGTTAGCTCGAGTGTGGCAACCCAGCACCGAGCCCAGAGCATCGAGCATCTGAAGGAAGGAGGAGCTGATTAGCTTATGCCATGAGTGACCAGTATTCTGTCCTACTCTGTGGCAAGGAAAGGAACAGCAGAGGCAGTCCCTGACCACCAGAGGGAGCAGGTAGAAAGCCACCAAGATTCTGTCCTTGACCAGTGGCATCTGTTTCCTCTCCTTGGTTAGGCATCTCCACGTTCTGGTTAGCTTTCAATTGACTGTGAAATTTTCTCCAGGAAAATTCCGGCCATTCAAGGAATGTCATCGAATTTGCCTTTGATCTACAGTTTGAAGTGAAATCCCCACCACCACCACCACCCTGCACCATCTCCAAACTCTAACTTACCACTGGTGTTTCTGGCTACATGGTTCAGGCAAGGCCCCAAGCCCCTCCCAGATACACACACCCTGCTTGGCACAGGCTTTAGGGAAATGCTCACTCATGGGAATGTCTGGGATGAAAGGTGGTTTCACAAATGCTTCTCTAGCGTAGTTAGCAAGCAAGAAGGCCTGCAAGCCATAGCAAGAACTGCACCCTTCTGAGAATCAGAAGGACCGTGGTCAGCAGCAGAGTACAGGGAGCCAACGGGCAGGGCGGGTTCTGCTTGGCATGACCGAGAGGGGGAAGACAGATAATCGAGAACTTACCCTCACTCCCATGAATCTGTCCCTGAGAACGATCCACGACAGCAAGAAAACAAACGATTTGTTGCAGCAGAACAGGACGGACACGTCTGTAGCGTTTATCTTCTTTATTGCGTGTAAGTACAGGTAGTTTGTAAGAGTCCAAAGAACACCAAAAGGTGCCGCCTTGGTAAAGAACACTTTCAGAGTCAAGCCATTGTCTCCAAAAAACCGACAGCATTCCCTAAAACGAGAGAGAGAGAGAGAGAGAGAGAGAGAGAGTTATCATCTTGGATTCACACTTACCCTCTACTCAGATAATAAACAAAAGAAAATTTAACAGGGCAGGGGGAATGTGGTTCAGTTAGTGAAGTGTTTTTGACTAGCATGCAAGAAGTCCTGGGTTCCATCCCCAGCCCTGCAGACACAACGCTGTAATTCCAGCATTTGGGAGGTGGAGGGAGGATTGGAGATTCAAAATCATCCTCGATACATAGCAAGTTTGAAGCCAACTTGGACTACGCAAAATCCTGCCTCAAAGGGAGAAAAGCAGAAAAACAAAACAGAAAAGAAAACATAAGAGACTAGGTCTCTTACTTGCTATCATTTTTTATTGTTTATCGATGCATATGCATTGCCTCTGTGCCTGTTGGGGCCAGAGGGAATGCTAGGTCCCCTAGAGCTGGAGTGAGAGGTGACTGTGAGCTGCCCCACACTGTGGCATGATGTCACGGGCTGTTGTCCCTTTTGCTTACTCCAAACTTGGAGCTGATGGCTTTCATGGAAGGTGTGCCAGGATTATCTGACCTGGAGACTCAAGTCCACAGGAGCTGACTGTGGGGTTTGGTAACTTTCAAGTGGATGAAGAAAGTCATTGCCAGGGGCGTCTGACTCATGACCTACATGGGTTGCAGGCTCAACGTAACAGTTGTAAACTTACTTAAGCAACGAGATCCATTTTGTAGCTTGACTGTGTGGTTTTTCAAGGGTGAGCATTGTGGATGAGAATATCGAGTCACAAGAGGCAGAGGCTGGAGCAACCCAGTGTGGGCTAGACCATTTTTATTTGTCTTTTTTTTTTTTTGATGGGGGAAGTGGCAAATAAGAATGGATAGTTTGCCTTTGTGGTTAGGCAGAGATATGCACTGTAGAAAGACTTATTTGGCTCTGTGTGTGTGTGCTTTTATGTGTGTATGTTTCTCTCTCTCTCTCTCTCTCTCTCTCTCTCTCTCTGTATGTGTGCGCGCGTGTATGTGTGTGTGCATGCATACCTGTGTGGATTTTGTGCAAATGCCCTTGGAGGCCAGAAAATGGTGTCAGATCCTCAGAAGCTGGAGTAACAGGGCAGTTGTAAGCTGCCCTTATATGGATGCTGAGAACTGAGCTTGGGTCCTTTGCAGATGCACCAAACATTCATAAACTATCAAGCCATCTTTTCAGCCACTGGATGAGCAGGTTTTGGGTACCTGAATACGTTCTGGCTGTAATACAAATAGTCTAAACTACCTGTGAGTCTTCTTCCTTCTTTATGTTAACATGTGAATGTTCATGTCTCCCCTTCGCTAAGCCTACCCAGAACAGAAGCAGCCAGCACATTCAGGAGATCAGGATCTTACAAGATGGCACCAGACAGAACACACTTCAGAAGAAACCTTTCAGGCAATTGCAGGCTTTCCAAGGAGAGTTCACTGGTATTTTAAAAATGTTTTAGAAAAGCAAAGCCTGCCTTTCACAGTTAGTGAAAGAAGCAGGGTAGGAGAGGCCTGGGGGATGATTAGGGTGGAGAGCACCTGTAGAGAGGGGTGCTGAGCCACGGCAGTCTAGGAATGAAGACCCTGGTGAGGAGGACTCAGACTCAGCAAGTGCTGCCCCAGAGGTCCTGGTCTTGGCTCACAGATGTGTGGAGCTCCATAGCAGCTGATCAGAAAGGAAGACAGCTGGCCTGTGACTTAGAAGTAGATTCAGGCCTTACTAATCCTTACAGAGTTTAAGAAAAGACATCACTAGCCAAATACCAAGGACACTAGAGTGGAGAGTAGTCTGCCTGGAGTCACAAAGTATTAAAATCCAGCAATGGAAGAAAATTAAAACCAGGAGCCAAAGGGGATTTGGTAGTACTTCAAATTTAATTTTGTTATTTTTTTTCTAATGAGCAATCTGTTGTTTACTGGTGAACTATGAAGCAGTCATGGAAGAAACAGAAAAATTAAGAGAGGGACCTGAGGTCATGCAAGGTAGGGACGGGTAGAATAGGATTTCCTGTTCAAAGAACATGACAGAGTTTTGCCACCTGTGCTGAGCCTAGGAGTCCTGTGTGGCTTCCCAACAAGCCAGCACCAAGTAGAATGTTCCAGTTCCTACACAGGCTACGAACTGATCAACAGTGTTACTTCCATTCTAGTTACTTCTTCAAAGGCTGGTGTCTGCTAAGATATTATCACAGCGTTCCCACTTCACTCTCTGTGGTGTTGTTCAAGCCCCTTTGGGCCCCCGCGGGAAGGATGACAACTTCCTTCATGTCTGTCATGCTGGTTGTTATACACTTCCATGACTATGGCAACAGGGTCACAGGTTTTGTCCTGGTGTGAATACAAACTCATTTTCTGTACTTCTTAAGGGATCGCCACATGCCGGGCAGTGGTGGCGCACGCCTTTAAACCCAGCACTTGGGAGGCAGAGGCAGGTGGATTTCTGAGTTCGAGGCCAACCTGGTCTACAGAGTGAGTTCCAGGACAGCCAGGGCTACACAGAGAAACCCTGTCTTGAAAAAAAACAAAACAAACCAAACAAAAAAGGGATCGCCACATGTTATGACACATCTCTAGCAGGCCCCCATTTTTTGTTCCTTAGCCAGTGGTGATATTTGGGAGGCTGAAAAACCTTGAGGAGGTGGGACTGGCTGGTGTGAGCAGGTCACAAGGGTGGGCCTTGAAAGTCATACCCACCCAGCCCCTGGTTCCTGCCTCACGCTCTCTGCTTCCTGATCCATCAAGATGTGAATCGTCTTAATATGAGGTTCTGCCATGCCTGCTCCACCATGATGCACTGAACCTTCTGCAACAGTGGACTGAGCTGTGTCTATCAGAGATTGTGGTTGACACAACGTGTGAATGTAACTAAGACAGGATGCTAAAAGTCCACAATCCACTGGTCAAGACCAGTATGTGTGTATGTGTGCATGTGTATGTATATATGTGTGCATGTGCGTGTGCATGTGTGTGTATGTATATGTGTGTATATGTGTATGTGTGCATGTGTATGTGTGCGTGTGTGTGTATGTGTATATGTATGTGTGTATGTGTGTGTGTGTATGTATATGTGTGTATGTGTGTGTATGTGTGCATGTGCATGTGTGTGTGTGTATGTGTGCATGTGTATGTATGTGTGTGTATATGTATATGTGTGTGTATGTGTGTATGTGTGCATGTGTATATGTGTGTATGTGTGTGTGTGTGTGCATGTGTGTTATAAAGCATAACTTGTGCTGTGTCATGGCCATCCAAAGCCAGCTGAACAGCTTACATCCTCTCTGCAAATCTGTTTGACTTCTCCAAATCCTGACAGTGGTAGACAAGTGGAGGAAGGGAAGGCATAGACAGACTGACTCCCCAAGCTGCTGGAAAGGAGGAGCTGAGTGGGCCTCTGACAGGAAGTAGAAGTACAAGGGTTCTGGATATATGGGCCTGGCAGAGTCATCATGACTCAGGATTCATGTCCCGAAAGGGACAATTCAGCTTGGTGGACCTTGGTTCTAATAAGACTGAGTTGGCTAGCTTCTGTTGGGCTAGTGAGCCTTGTGCTGGTTCAAAACCAAGGACTAAACATTAATCCATGCCAGGCGGCTGAAGATGCAGCTTCTTAACTGAACCTTGAATGGTTCACTCAGGTAGGTGAGCAGATAAGGAAATAAATTGTATTTATGAAACATGAAGAAGGGGTTGTGAGAAAGAAAGTAATCTTGGAAACTAAATGTAAGATAAACACATTTAAAGATCAATAGAGCCGGGCAGTGGTGGCGCACACCTTTAATCCCGGCACTTGGGAGGCAGAGGCAGGCGGATTTCTGAGTTTGAGGCCAGCCTGGTCTACAGAGTGAGTTCCAGGACAGCCAGGGTTACACAGAGAAACCCTGTCTCGAAAAACAAAAAAAAAAAAAACAAAAAAACAAAAAAAAACAAAACAAAACAAAACAAAAACCAAGAGAGAGAGAGAGAGAGAGAGAGAGAGAGAGAGAGAGAGAGAGAATGAAATCATGAAATTGGGAGATAAAGCAGGAAGTCCGGCGTTAAACCAGAGATGCGGCTAGAAGAAGAAAGAGTGAGGTGAAGCAGAGGAGATAACAAGGGAGTGGGTGAGAGCCCCAAGAACTGGAGGAAACCGAGCTCCACAGCATGGTGGCCCTCCAGGCACCGAGCAACAATGGAGAACACAAGGCACACATTTCTGAAATAAAGGCATAAAGATGTGCTTTTAAGCCTCAAAGGAAAAGCTAGACATGGCGGGGTACACCTGTGTGATAGCACTTGAGGGTCATCGGTGTGAGGCCTGTGTGGGCTACAAAGTGAGAGCCCACCCCAAGAAAACAAACGAAAGGAACAAAATACGTCACAGGATAGGAAATCATAATAGGACCGGGCATCTCAACAACAAAAACAGAAGCTAGACAGCCACAGATGCATTCAACATTGAAGAAACATTACAGCAGCAGGCAGGTGCAGCATCAGGGGCAGGCAGGTGCAGCATCAGAGGCAGGCAGGAGCAGCAGTAGCAGGCAGGTGCAGCAGGGGGAAACAGATGCAGCAGCAGCAAGTAGGGGCAGCAACAGGGGCAGGCAGGTGCAGCAGTAGCAAGCAGGAACATCATCAGGGGCAGGCAGGTACAGCAGCAGTAAGCAGGAACATCATCAGGGGCAGGCAGGTGCAGCAGTAGCAGGCAGGTGCAGCAGCAGCAAGCAGGGACAGCAACCAGGGCAAATAGGTGCAGCAGTAGCAAGGAGGGGCAGCAGCAGGGGCAGGCAGGTGAAGCAGCAGCAGCAGCAGGTAGGGCAGTAGCAGCAGTCAGGGGCAGCAGTATCAGGCAGGGGCAGCAGCATCAGGCAGAGGCAGCATCATCAGGCAGAGGCAGCATCAGGCAGGGGCAGCAGCAGCAGGTAGGACAGCAATGCACACAGAAGAATGGCTAGTCTGTGCCTGAGGAGGCTCTACTGAAAGGGCAGAGCCCAGGGCAGTCTTGCTAATCGAGATC